CATCTGACCACAGCACGGATTTCCACTGTCTTTTTAACTATCTGAGATGAGCTCTGACCCAGAGAACCCGGTGGCATTACTGCATAGAACTGATGTATAGTTTTCTCGTAGAGTAGCAGAGATTCAAGTTGCATTTATTGATGCCGCGGCAGTGTAAAGTGACAGTGGTTTTCCAAAGTACTCCTGAGCCCATGTGGCTATATTTAACACTGCAACATGACGGTTTCTTATGCAATGCCATCTGAGGGCTCAAAGGTCACACACCTCATGAGATTTTGCACAAAGTGATGAGCCATGATCCAGCTTTGCTTGCAAAGACTGAGTTGCTCCTTTTATAGCCAAACATGATACCCTCACCTAATACCAGTTCACCTGCTCACTGTTTTAAAACAGTTTAATTTGGATATTCTATAACATTTTCCCTTTGTTCCCTTAAATTTGTTTACATTTACAAAATACATTTAGGTTGGACAGTGAAAAGTTTTCTTTGAACTTTTGTCAATTAAGTAAAAGTTAAAGAGAATTAACAAATCACAAATTCTTGATTTTATTGCATTTTACAAAACGTCCCAACTTTTCTGGAATTGTGCTTGTAATTTTAGTATTTCTTTTGTGATTCCAGAAATAATTTGTAGCATTTAAAGCTATTCATAGTTTGTTTTTTTTCACAAAAAAAGTGTATTTTTTCCCCAATGTTTATTTATACCTTTTGATACAGAATTTTAATATCAGCCATTTAACAGTTATTGGCCATGGCATGAAATTAAATATCAGTATCAGGTAAAACTTTAATATTTTGCAGTATAGGCAAAAAGAGGTGACATGATCTCATAGCTTTATTTTTTTCTTTCTAAATGTTTTATAGCAGTGCATCAGCGATGGATATCTGTCATTGTTAGCCCATATATATCATGTTGAAGAGGAACTTGAATTATATCAAAGACAGCTTTGGATCAGTTCAGTCATGTAGTGTGGAGAGTTTGCACTGTGCACTCTGTGTGGTTTTAAATGCCTAAAAATAGGTCTTTTTATTGTGTGAGTGGCCAGAGCAAGCGCTCTCATCCTCTGTGATCTTTCGCCAGGGGTCGTGTAATGCTCCTTAATGTGCTCGTAAATCATGGCTTGTCAGGCCATGCACACAAGAATGTAAAGAATCCAACACGGCCTCCATCTATCTCTCTTCTTCTCTCTTCAAGTTAGTCCAGTAAATCTTTTTCTCCTGAACACACAAAGAGGAATTTCTCTGCAGCTGATTTTCTGCAAATTAATTACATACTGAGCTCAATGATGGATTTAGGAATGTAGTGGACCCGTTGTGCTGTTCTCTTTACCGTGAACTAAAGCTCTTACAGTGCTTTGTTTGAATTAGATCTGGATCCTTCTTAGCTTACAGGCTGATTTACCTTCTGGGGCTGCATCATGCAAGCACTGCAAGACATCTATTATAAAATGTTGTTCAGTGGTCAGTCTAATAACAAGTGCGTGAACCTCTCATTCCCCTTTGAACTTCAATTACTGAATTTCTCTCATGTTAAAATAATTCAGTCATTGTTCATAATTCATATGAATTAATCTTGATAAGCTGGTTCATGCAAGGCTGTATCCAACTATAGACATTGAGGGGGACATGTATGTATCATTCAGATTATTTGTAAATCAGTTTTATGGTTTATATATATATATATATATATATATATATATATATAT